TACCTTGTCTTTCCTTCCTAATCCCATCTATACATCCTTGCGCGTAGATGCAAACTGTAAGTACATTGTCTATGTGCACCCTCATCCCATTCTCCCCTCTCCTCCCCTTCTTCGTCCGTTCTGCCTCATCCGCCATCGGCCCTCACCCCTTTTCCTGTATGAACCCCCTAGTCGGTGCAATTAGCTGCGCGCTAGTCACAACTACCCGTCCCGAGGGGTACTCGCCCAGTTCCGTTTTGCCCTCCATTTATTTGGGTCGTGTTCCCTTGCCCTTAATTGCTTGCTTTAGTATCTCACTCTGTCTGCTTGCGCCCAAAATCCATTTATTAGGAATTTTTTTTACTCCCTCATCTACACTGATTTCCTTGTGGTGTACTCTCCTGTGACATATGTCAAATCTCCTTCGGCTTTGCAGTTGACATCGTCTTTCATTATTTTTTGTGCTAATTCTTTCCCGATTGGATGCGGAATGGTGTGCACGAGACTCCCTCTCCCAATTGTTTTCTTTGCTCCTACCGGAATCATTAGTATGTAGTTATACTTGGTCGACTTTTATTTTGCGACCATTCAATAGGAGTATCCGTCTCCTATTTCGTCCTCCATCTCATGACAACGAGATTGCTTGATGAAAGAACGGTTTTTCCCGGAAATTCAGTTTTCTTTCAGCCACAGTGACGATCATGATTGCAACTCAGAGCTACAAAAATGCTTCTTTTATCCCTAATATTTAACATCAGTTATTCTCGCTTTCCTGTCCCTTCCATTGCACAAGCATCAAGGTTCTAATGGCAACTTAACTGGAGAACGAGAGCTTCAACAGTAAATCGAATTTACACATTAGTTAGCGCATTTCATTGTTGAATCTGCTCCTCGTCTTCAACATTCATCCATTTAATGCTACTGTGCAGCTTACTTCCTAAAAATGCCATTATTTTTACTGCCACTCAGTTTAAAATAACGCAGGCTTAATCTCACTGCTTGCCTTCCGACCACCCTCCACCCCTCCTCTCCTCATCCCATCCCATCCCATCCCACTCCTTTAACGTGAGCGGCAGCCAAGAGGCAAAAATGATG